CTCCCCTAATTCTCACAACAGTGTTCTTAGTTTATTTCGTATCCAGGCTTGGATTACGTTACAGCATGAGAAGGATCCCCTTCCCAAGTCTGGGAGGACAAAGGACACACAGCACAACAATGCTCTGGGATATCAAAAGCAGAGATGAGAGTGCAGGCAGTCATGGCTGAGGGGCCATTTGCCTTCTCTTGCTCTGTGTCCTCGTCCAGCTCTCGTCCACCACCAGACTCCCATGGCTTCCGAGGACCCTGAAGGAAACAGAAAATGTGCTGTGAGAAGCATAAGTTTGCAAAACTCCAAGACATATTATGTTTCTCTAGTAATTATCAGGGGGCGGATTGCCTAAAACGGTCTCATTATGTGTTTGAACTCTAATCTGTTCGATGTTTCATCTTCAAGGACAAAACGTAGCTTACAATGCACCACGAGCTTCTTTTATTAAAGCCCAGTGATGTTCCTGGCATTAGTTACATTTGCTTTCCATCAGGGTGAGCACAGACGGACAAGCCAGGCACACTAAGCAACTCGTCGCCTAGCTCAGGTAAGATGGCACAGAACATTTTCTGGATCTCACCCCTTCTGCTAAACACTCCTGTGCCACACAGTTGATCGATGGCTATAGATTGAATCAGTCAGGTTGAAAAATGTCTACATAAGTCCATGATTACTCTTTGGAATTAGGAATACTGGTGAAGCTATGGGGATAATTAGTGTAAACATGTATTTAAGCTTGAACTTCTTTTCTTTAAAAAGCAACTATCCTTTACGTTTATTTTATACTAGATTTATTCCTGGGCCATAAGTTTCTTCTGGGATATCTTCCCCCAGCCCAGGGGCGGGAGGCACTTTTGTTTCTTTTGTGCAATCCCCTGACTGAGGAGGTTTGTTCTTTTCAGTGAAGATCATGCCAACACGGCAGAGGAAGCTCCTGGGTGGATGGATCTGACAGTGCCCTCTGTATATATGGTGTACACCTTGGGGGGAGGGGCTTGCTTCACCTGGATGTGCTCAGGAATCAAAGAATCTGCAGTTAACCAGTAAGGCCATTATTCCTGTGAGTTTTAAGCATGTGCAGCAAAAATTCAGCACTCTCTTTGGGTCACTGAGATCCTGTGCCAGCTCTGCTTTCTGGCCTGGGTACACCTCTCAACTCTACCATCATAATGAGTGACAGAGGGGCACCCACTGCTTTTGTGAAGTGACTGCTTTCAGTTACTTGGTGGTTTTTAAATTTTTTAACTTCTATCTATCTATCTATCTATCTATCTATCTATCTATTTTTTACTGTGCTGGGAATCAAACCCAGGACCTCCAACATGCTAGGTGAGTTCTCTGTCACTGTGCTACAACCCCAGCCCTACTTAGTGGTCTTTTTAGAAATGTAATGGCCTGGGTGGGAAGTTTTCTGGGTGTTTTTCAGGGGACTTGAAGATTTGAACCTCTTGATTGCATGATTTTGTGGGCTTTTCTGGGCCAAGTAAGCAGCGAATCGTTTTCAGAGATCACCTCAAGTCAAGAGGTCACAGGAAGAGCTTGGAATCATTCTTGCATTCCATTACTAAGAGTGACTGTCACGTAATGTGGTCAGAAAACACGGCACAGCAGCCTCATGGGGGCGGGGGGCAAGGAAACAACTGAGAGCAGCTTTCTGTTCCTAGAGTTTGTTGCACTGTATTTGCAGGGGAGGAGACCAGGGCCATGGGGACTTCTGCTTTCCCCTGCCAGGGCATATTTAAAATTGAGAGGCAAGCCCAGTACTTTTTCCTGTGACATGTATTTTATTTAAAAATTTGAAGCAAAGAATACCATTGTTTTATTTAAAATATATTCATGGGCGGGGGCATGGCCTAATGGCAGAGTGCTTACCTAGCATGTGTGAGGGCCTGGGTTCGATTCTAAGCACTGCAAAAAACAAAATGAGCCACACATGGAGCAGTGGGAATTGAAAGTTGCACAAAGTTCAAGAAGAGCCTGCCAGGGATGTCCATTTGCCCAGGCAGAGTCAGAGAACCAGCAGGTTCTGGGGCTTATCAGGGTTAACTAGACAGCTGGTGCTTAGATGGCCTCCACATTCCACCTTCCCCTCCATGCTTTTCTCCTCTGTCTCTTGGTGCCAAACTATTTCTGTTCAGCCCAGGTACAGATGTGCATTTCCCGTGAAGATTCTCCTGAGTGACTGCCCTTTGACTCTCATGGCTGTTTATCAGCACTCTCTGTGGCACTTGCCACTATCCTGTGATAAGGTCCAGTGTGAAGTCCTCTCCTGGTCAGTTCTCTTTGGGGGACCCTTGAGCTTTGATCCCACCTGCTGAGCATGCTGTTGATAGAAGTAGGATCTCAATGAACATTTGGAGGATGAATGGATGGAAGTTGGCATTCCCAATCTTTGGCCGAGGAGGCAGCTGACGTGTATGTGTGTGTGTGTGTTTGTTGCTGAGGATCAAACCCAGGGCCTTGCACATGCTAGGCAAGCGTTCTACCACTGAGCTACAACCCCAGCCCCTGACTTGACTTCTTTTTAGAAATGAAAATCAAGACAAGGTTTGGCCTAACTTGGGGATATCTGTTGAGAGAAAATGAGAAGGAGGAGACAAACCTCTCACTTTTAGACAAGTTTCCAGAGCAAACAAAGCACACTCACACAAGGAGGTGTTTTGACAGTCGTGGAACTGAAGAGAAATGTCTTTGATTGGTGACTGTCACTTGACCCTATTTCCCAAGTTTAGATGGCAAGTGGATTGTTGATGGATTTAGTTCTGCCTATTACCCTTTTTGTCAGGATGCAGGCTCAGTAATTACCCTTTTGATTTTTTTGCAGTGGCATCAGCCCTGGGGTACCTCTGACAAAGAGGAATCCTTCAAAAGGATGAAAGAAAACCATTAAACAATTAAATCAAATAACTATGATGTGTTACTTTTAAGGACATCATGTCATCAGTACAACAATATGTGGCAATCAAATTATTCAAGAAACTTTCTCTCTTATTCCCAGAAGAACTGTGCTACAGCCTAAGGCCACGTAAGGAGAATCTTGGGTTCTCTTGGGCCTTGTGCCCTGGTTTCAGATTCTCCCCAGGTTGGTACAGTGTCTGGAACGCTCTGGGGCCATTTCAGTTCTACCCATGTCACTCATGAGAAGGTTGTGAGAGGGCTGAAATGAGGCCACTATAAGCACCAGGAGGGCTCCTGGAGACCAATTCTAGTTCTGGCCCTGATTTCCTTCATGGCTTTAAGCCAAACTAGGAAACTCTCCCCCTTGGATTTCCCATTTATCAGTAGAGAAGACACTGTTTCTCTGATTTCTGTGTCAAATGTCTTCAAAGTTAAATACAAAGTAATATTAGAAAGAAGGGGGTATTAACAGCGTTCCTGTAGGAGCTGGGGTATAACTCAGTGGTAGAGTGCTTGCCTGGCATGTTCAAGGCCCTGGATTTGATTCACAGCACTAGGGGGGAAAAAGTGTGTTTCTGCTCATGTATGGGTGTGAGATTTCACAGAGAATCTTCACAGTCACAGAGTGGATGTCCCTTCTCTAGCCTCCTCTGTTCCTGGTTTGATTTTAAGCACTACATGGATCAATTCAGCACATGAATTATGTCTTTTTTTTTTTCCAGTCTGGGAATTGAGCCCAGGGTCTCATGCTGGGCAAGCACTCTACCATTGAACTATGTCCCCAGCTGGGATTATGTCTTTTTCCCACTCTTGCAGAACCCACCTCTGGTTATACCAAAAAGATCAAGGCTAATTTGGAAAAACTGAACTTGTAACTCCATGTGAACTCTCATTTTCATGTTGATGCATCCTTGTTTCTGTGGCTTGTTCTCTCTTCCTCCTGCCCAGAGCTAACCCTTTCCCCGGTACCCTTCACACCTCCCTCCATATTTTCCTATTACACTGTCACCACTTGGCACATTTTAGGGCTCTCCTGCCACTGACCTCAAACATGCCCAGGCTTTATTCTATTTTTAAAGCACACGAGAAAATCAGAATGCCTTTCCTTGACCTTGCAGTCTCTTCTAGTCTATTTATTGCTTTCCTTTTGCAGGGAGACATCTCAATTTCCTCTTTCCTTGTGGCCCCTTGGTTTGGCAGTGTAGCTTCCCTTTTCTGTCACTCTATTGAAATTGCATCCTTTAAAGTCAACAGTGGTGCCCTTGGAGCCCATTCCAAAAAGGGTTTTGTTTTAGCCTCATTATTCTTATTTTTTCAGGAGCACTGAGTTTCTTTACCTTACTCTGATGTATTTCTCTGGTTTATTTTTGTTCCCTTATTTCCTAAATGAATTTTCCAAACTGGTCCACTGCATAGCATCCTGGCTAAGTCCAAGTCTGGGATCACTGTGCCTGTGGTTGAATTCTAACTCTGCCACTAATGAACTGCATGACCTTGGACAAGGTTATCTCTCTGTGCCTCAGTTTCACCAGTTTTAAAATGGGGATGGTAGGGAGAGTTCTTACCTTGATTTGTTGCAAGAATCAAATGGGACAGTCCTTGTAATATTTGCATCAAGATTTGGACCATGAGAATATTCTTTAGTGTTACCCATTAGCCTAACAATAAGCTCCTTGTTCTTTGAAAACAGAACTTTTTCTTTTAGGACATATTGCTCGCATTCACCAACGTGATGTAACCAGATAATAAATAATTATTGACACATAGATTTATGCAGTGGTGAAAAAGCTCAGGGAAGGTGGAATGATGATAGCAGAGGGCTCCTAAGGTCTGCTGGGGTTGTAGGACCCACGTTTTTATGTTTTTACCAATAAGCCATTTAAATTACTGAGAGTTTAAATGAGATGTATGGTGTTCTAGGAGCAGGAAGGGCGTCAGCGGTTAAAGCCTTAGTTGTCAGTCACAGTGGTGTTCTTGGCGTGGAACACAGCGTCCCATTCTTAAATTAAACGCGGCTCTAAGGGGATTGCGTGGGGAAGGCAGCGGCCACAGCGCGGGGAAGCCGCGCATTGAGTGATGGCGCCATCTAGTGGCAGCACGAGGGAACGTCGCTGGGCAGCGCGGTGTCATTTGGTGCAGGGGAAGGTCCTCAGAATTGCCGTCCTTTCTGGATAAAGTGGGGATGAGACTGGACAAGAGGAAAGAATAAAGAGAAAGCACAGCAAGAGGGAAGAAGAAACACCTCATCACAGTGTGGGGACCGAAAGGACATAACCCACCACGTCGTCGGTGTCATTCGGGGCAATTCCCGCCCCCACCTCGAGATCTTACACACTTTGATCCCCCCCCCCCCGTTTGAATCTCATTTTCCCACGCTCTGTGCTGCCCCGTTATCCTGAACAGATACTGCTTCACCTTTTAATTTCCCTTTTTGTGTGTTAGAAATTCGGGACTGGGAAGATTTAGCCGAGTCATCACATTTGGCTCCACCCCGGAATAGCAGCCCTCCGGAGTGGCCCAGGACCAACCTCCAGCCCCACCGCAGCAGTTCGTCACGTGACAGCCACCCCAGGAGCGCAGGTAAGAGGAATGCAGCCTCAGGCCTCCCGAACTGCAGGAGAAGTCCCCTGGGCGCTTGGCTCCCAAACCCTTCCTGGAATGCCACTCCGGTTACCGTGTCAGAGGGAGTTGAATCCTAAGGAAGTAGCTATCTGGGATGTTCTCTTTGGAAAACCCAAGTGAATGAAACAGATTTGTTTTTCTCTTTTCACAAATTATAGATTATTGTCAACAAAGAGCATTAGAGTGGGAGGGACTGGTGGAAGGCGTCAATGCTTCAAATTGAAGGGTCTACACACTTAGGTGGTCAGCGCACAGGTTGTCTAGGAGCCGAATACAGACTTAAAACAGAAGTATAGATTTTGTCATCCAGAAAGGGAAAAACAGTATAGATTTTGAAGTCTTGAACTCTGCTATATTTGACTTTGGGTGAGTTGTTTAATGTTATTCTAAGCCCGTTTCTTCTCTAAAATAAATAATTATACACAATTTTCAAGGATTGAGAGGATTAAATGAAATATCATAAAAGATCTCTTATTTATAGACGAGCATGGTGATGCACAACTTATAAATCCCAGTTAATGGGTAGCGGAGGCACGAGTGTGACAAGTTCCAGGCCAGCCTGGGCATCTTCACAAGATCCTGTTTCAGAATAAAAGAGACTGGGGATGTAACTCAGTGGTACAGAGTTCAGTCTCCAGTACCCAAAGAAAGAAGGAAGAAAGGAAGGAAAGAAGGAAGGAGGGAAGGAAGGAAGGAAAGAAAGAAAGAAAAGAAAAGTTCTCTTATTTGAGATATTGGGACTGGATTTCACAGAATTAATTAAGAAGTTGATTAAAGAAGAGAATCATAAAAGATGGTAAATAGTTCACATGTTTTACCTTAAAATGTAAAATTTATTTTTAATACAGGCCATGGTCTTTTCTTTGAATATAGTTGGCATTTCTGCATTGTCTTTCTTGCATAAACTATATGCATAATACTTTATCTGTGAGTTCTAGCTTTAGTTTCTTTAAATGTAGCAAGAATTTATACACCTGGGAAGGCACTTGTAAAGTCTCTTTCTACAGAATCATGTCAGTTCCAAAAATCATACCAAATGATTATATACTTCCAAAACTTTTACTCTTCACATACCTAATTAGACAACAATATTTTAGCAGCTTCCCATTATGAAATCCTCCTAAAACATTCAATCTTGCATTCAGAGAAACAACTTCCTTTTCTTGTGTACTCATATTTTGTTAGTTTATATTTAATTAAATTTCAAGCTGCAAGGCTGGGGATGTAGCTCAGTGGTGGAGTGCTTGACCAGTATGCACAGGGCCCTGGGTTCCATCCCCAGCACTGCAAAAAAAAAAAAAAAAAAAAAAAAAAAAACAAACAAACAGACAAATAAAATTTCACAGTGACAGTAACAAGTACGTTGTTATTAACTAATTCTTGATAAACATGAAACTACTGTGGGGCCATAGCAGCAATGGTTGGTATAGTTCCCAGGCAGCCTGGAGAATCACAGTTAGCCCTCCGGGTTGGTTCAGTAGAGGTCAGCTAAATCAGCTTCTCCTGCACTCTACCTATATAAAGTGTTTAACCTAGTGCCTTGCATGTGAAAGTGTCTAATAGCTGGTAACTTATTCCTATTGTTATTAATAAGCTCAGAGTTGCAAGGACGGCTAGAAATCTGTTTCTTTTCTTCAAAATTTTATAGATGAGAAAAGATCCAAGTGTTTAAAATTTTGCCTTCAACATATACCTTTTGGCTTCAATGAGTAAAAGGATTATTGATTATAAACCTAATATTTTGATTCAGAAGGATTTAAGTTTGCAAAGGCATCTGGGAGTCGGTATAAAGCATAAAGCAGTCTTCTATGGTACTTCAAATCTATGTCTTTTCAGTAAGACCAGGTAGGACCATGGCATGGTGATGAAGACAAGCCCCAGGGCCTCCCGGGTGGTAAAAACCAGGGGTCTAGGCATAGTACACACAGGGAATGTCTCCCAGAGGAAGAAGGATTAGTTGAACAATGTACACAGGGATGAACAAAGTTTTGGTCACAGTAGGCTCTGCACCTGTGACCGCCATGGAAACCCAACAGAAAAGCCTCTTTCTAATAGGAAGAACCACTGCTAAGGGGCGAGTGGGCTTCTAGAAAGAGTCAGAATGCCTAAGGAATCTTGGAATCTGTGTACTGTGTTCATTTTTGTGTGTGTTTAAACATTCCTCTCTCAGATCCTGTGTTGCAACAGATGGGAATGATCCTTTTGTTTTGGTTGGATTGGCTGTAAAGGATGCAACTGGTTGAAAGGCAAAGACACTGCAGGCAGTAGGGGTGTGTGTGGGTGATGGGTGTTCTTTTAAAAACTGCAAGTCTGAAAACACCAAGCTCCAGGCAAGGTCTTTGTGACTCTCATTTACCTTCTAGTTTTTTTTTTTTTTTAAGAAAATTTAAGAATAGCATTCTAGCAAAGTACAAATCATGGTTGCACATCTCCCTGTGTTTTTGTTGGTGGTGGTGCTGGGGATGGAACCCAGTGCCTCATGCCTGCTAAGCTTGTACGCCACCACTAAGCTGCACCCCCAGCCCCTGCTATGCTTTTAATTTTATTTTGACAGTCATCTTAGTCAATTTTCTGTTGCTAATTACACAGTACCATAGATTGGGTACATTATAAAGCAAAGAGGCTTATTTTGGCTCACAGCTCTGGTCCAAGGTTAAGGGATCACATCAAATGATGGCGTCCTTGCTGACAGAGTCCCGAGCTGGTGTAGGACAACCCATAGTGAGACAAGGTGAACGGAAGAGACCAAGCCAAACTAAATGTCATAGCAGACCCATTCTGGAGATAACCTATTAATCCTTTAATTACATGAGTGGGTTAATCTCAGGAGGGCAGAGCCTTAATCACCCATTAAAGATCCCACCTCTTACTCTCTCATAATGAGGATTAAATTTCAACATGAGTTTTGGAAGGGACAAACTGTATTCCAACTATAGCAACAGTGAAATTCATTGCCTCACAAGCATGCTATCCTATCAATCCTTGGTTCTTTGCAAAGACATCGATGTGCTTCTCTCTCACCCCTGCTCCTCCTGGGACTTCTGGGCTCTCTCATGATATGTGGCTTTATGGGGTATGCCAATCCTGGGATTATTTTCCAGTTCAGAGGTTTTTATATACCAGCATATGTAACTTTGTGCAAAGAGTGCAAAGCTCTGGCCCAATGCACACCAAGATTCTGTCCAGTAATTCTGGGGAAGTCTTGCAGTTTATAACATGTACCATGGAATTCTGACAGAGGAGATTCCCTCAACACTGCAAGAAATGGTTTTGATTTTTCACCAGAGATCAAGATGAGCTCTGGGAGACAACTGTGAGGTTAAATGAGAGCACAATTGTTTTGTGATAGGGAGGTGGGCAGGTGAGGAAGGTTTTGCCGGGACAGGTGTGAGCTGGAAATGGAGCCTGTGTGTGTCTCTCTGACCACATATCCTGAAACTTCCATGAAGCTCAGCTGTCCCTCCCTTTGCCCTGATTGAGAGCCTTCCACATTCTTGAACTCTAGACCTGACTATTAAGGCCAGACTGGCTGCTTGTTTTTTTAGGCCTGGGACCCCCCACCCCCCACCCCCACTCCGCTCCGGCCCTGGCTGGCTAGAACCCTTAACTGCTTTGCTAACTTGCAAGAAAAGTCAAGCATAAAAAATGAAGGAGCAGGTTGTTGTCCTTCCCAATGGGGAGGAGCTCCAGGCCTGGTTTCTTGTGCCGTGGAACACCGACACCAGCTGGTTTACAATGAGGCTGATGCCCTTCTCAGTGAGCAGGCCCCCAGCCTGCAGGACTTGGGCTTCTTTTAAACTGAACATACTCATTGTCAGGCATCTGATTCAGAGCATTCCTTTTGAGAGGTGGCAAGTTCTACTGGAACATAAGGTCAAAGAAAACCCCAGAAAGAAAAAAATCAAACATGTTTTTCTTTATTGTTGTGGGGTTTTCCTTTCTTTCTGCCTCAATATAAGTTTATAACCCTTTATTCTAGGGGGAAGTGGCCCTGTGCTGCTTTGGTTTCTTTCTCTTAATTCAGTGGCTCTCAAGTGTGGTACCCAAGCTAGCTGCATCCTGGTATCAGTCTCACCCAGGAGTCTGCTAGAAATCATATATTTTAGCTGCCTGCTCCAGGTGCACAGTCAGAGACTCTGGGGATCTGGCCTGGGAATGCATGTTTAGCACATCTGCCAGGTGATTTCTTATGCATGCTCAAATGTGAGAACCACTGTTTAACAAAGGCCTACGGGAATGCCTTTAACTCTGACAAAGAGAATCTTAGTTCAGCCAGCTACCTGATGAAAAGAGAAGACCTTTCTGTCTGGAGTGGTGGTGGTGGTATAATTTTCTAGGGTTTTATCTGGGTTCCTATCACAATGGTTGCAGACAGGCCCATCGACCAGAGATGATGGATGGAGAAAGTGGGACTGGAGATTAGGGAGTGAATTTCCACCGCAGTGGCAATCTTTGTTAGGTTTCCTGGGTCTTCTGTTTAATGCAGATGCAAACACAATGTAATAAGTATTTCCTTCAATTTGATTTTACACAGATGGTAACATACTGTACACACTGATTTTCACTTTTCACTCAACAACCTGTTTTGGAGAGAATTTTGGCACATGTAGATCTGCCCAATATTCGTTTAAATGACTGCATACATAGTAGTCATCAAAGAGTTGTACAGGTGTAATATAGATGTAGTTTACTTAAATTATAATCATGGAAGGACACATTTTTGTCTGTTACAGTGCTATGTTGGCTGTCCTTTATGTGATGTGCTAATTCTGTAAGAATAAAGAATTGCTGAGCAAAAGAGTAGTCTATTTTAAAACAGTAAAGAGTATCAAGATCCCTTCCAAAAAAAAAAGTACCTATTGACATTTTTGGGGTCAATCTTGACTTCAACTCTCAAGGATTCTGTGGGTGGAGCTCAGGAATCTGAATTTTATTTCTTGGGTGATTGTGAGACAAGAAGTCTGCAGGATGGAATGGGGAGCCAGGGGGTGGGCCCTGAGCCCCAAGCTTCTACTCCTCTTGGGCTGCCTGGAATTGCTCTTTCACTTTTTATGTGACTCTGTTTCCTCACCAAGGTAAAGGTTCCTAAGGACAGGCCTGGGGTTGTCACCTTTTCCTATCCTCCCTGGAAAAGCACTTTGCAGTGTTTGTCAATCATGAAGCTTTGGAGGGGTTTGTGGCTCATGTGATGATCTTGGCTTTTCTTCTTCTTTTAGTTCCATGGACCAAACACAGAGTATCCCGGACCAGCCTTCTTCTGTACCTCCTTCCCAGCCCAAAAGGAAAATGACATCAATGATAGCTTTCTTTTCCAAGGTCTGATCCCAAATATCATGTACATTTAAATGTTCCCTCCCAAAAGCCATTTTGAAGTTCTTTCTGGAAAAAAAAAATTGGTTGTGAATTCTTTTAATATGGGTAGAATATTTATGGGAAGACAAGAAGATAAGTTGAGAGGGATTTAACTTGCTGCTAACCCAATAGTAAAAATATAGAATAAACCATGATTAATATTCAGAAATAACCATGAAGCTTGCATATTACTAAATCTCATCAATAGCACTATGGAAAGAGACCTGAATCCAAGCCCTCCCTCCAAACACACACACACACACACACACACACACACACACACACACACACACGGTGGGGGTGGGGGGAGCGCAGTGGCTTTTGTCATTGATTTTATCTGGATCTTTCATTGTCTGGATTCTGACTTTAATACTGTCTGTTCTGCATTCTAAAGAACAGCAGGGCCTTCCTGGCAACAGAGTTCAACTGCTCACTACAGGGGGCAGCCCATCTCTTGCCCCATCTCTTGCCCTGCAGTCACTTAGAGTTAGGGCTTTGAAGTCATTTTCTGCATCAGACACAGTGTTCCCCAATTTGCGTTATTCATGCATTCCTGTTCCCAATCTTAATTGCTCAGATACATGCATTCCAGAGTTGGGACAGCCTTCAAGTACCCTGAAATGTTTGTAGATGTGTAACAGATTTTTGTGGATGTGCTTTGCCAGTTGTGTCACATGCTATTACGAGCTTAAGGTGACTGCTGAGAATGGACCCTTGGAATGAGCCACGTGGAGGGATGGAGAGGGGGGAACATCAGCCCAATTGCTGAGTGTTCAGAACAGAATAGGAGAGGAAGCAGGGAAGCACGCACCATAGAGACATGTCATTGGAGGTGTTAAGCTACAAAGTGGAGCAGAAAGATGGGGAGGGGCTGGAGGGAGAGGGTTAGGAAACTCTTCAAAGTGAGTGAAATACCAATATGTACTTTGAAAGGGATGTGTATTCTCAGCCCACATCAACCCTTCTAAAGTCCCTTTCTTTTCAACTTGTCACCCTCCTCACAGCTATGAGCATCTCTCTCCATAATTCCCCCCAAAAAACACAGCTCAACACCAGCCTGCATTAGTTTACTTCCCCCTCCAAATTCCCCCCTTTAATTTCTTCATTATATAGATCAAACTAATGTATTTTCCAACAAAAATCAGACATTTATAGGGGCTGGGGTGCAGCTCAGTGGTACAATATATGCTTAGCATAGATGAAGCCCTGGGTTTGATCCCTGGTAAAACACACACACACACACACACACACACACACACCCCAACATCTTTAGTTGGATAAAGAAGAGCAAAACCAAGCAGGCAATGACAGGAGAATTTTCTTTAGAGGGAGGGAATGGGGCTGGGTTCAGAGCACGACTCCAAACACTCCCAATGAACACACTTTTGATCTACCTCTCAGGTCTCTTGGAAATTCAAGTTCCAGAAGCAGGAGTCTTCAAAGAATGTGTTTTTCATCTTGGCAGAAAGAGCTCGGGACCCCAATGCCAAAAAGCGCCACCTGGCAATGAGAGGCCTGGGCACCATGGCTTGTGAAGCCCCTGACCAGGTGAGGAAGGATGTGGAGCTGAGTCAATCTCCCCAAACCCTCCAGCCCTCGTGGGTGGCGCCCAGGCTTGGGTGGGGTACCCCCTGGACTAGTACCATTTCCCTCTAACAAACCACCAGACTTAGCAGCATAAAGAACATGTGATAGTTATTCATAGTGTCTGTGGACCAGGGGTCTGGGGACAGCTCACCTGGGTCCTCCATTCAGGGTCTTGCAAGGCCGGGACCCCACAGGCTGGACTGTGTCCTTCTGAAGCTCAGGGTCCTCTTCCAAGCTTATGTGGTTTTGGCACAATTTGGCTTTTCCAATTCTAGGACTGAGATTTCTGTCCTCTGGCTGGCTGTCCTCTGGGGGCCAGTCCCAGTGCCCTGAGGCCACCTTCTCACAGGTGGCAGCTTTATTCTTCAAGGCCAGCAGGAGGGTATCACTCACTCCTGTCTGCTACAGTGGAGTGTCGCATAATGTAAAGTAGCCATGTGCGTGTCATCCTGTTACCTTTGTTACATTCTGTTAATATTGACAAGTCACAGTTCCCTTCCACACCTGGGAAGAGCAGATTGTTCAAGGGCATGGCTCATTTAGGGTCATTTCAGCATCTCCAACCACGGGCAGTAGTTGCAGGCAGGACCGTTATATGCCAACATCATCCTCCTTGGGAATTCCAGTGATTTCCTCGTGATTTTTTTTTTTTAAGTAAAAGTTCCCTTCACTCCTATTTCTTTAGTATGTGTCAACTTCAGTGGCAATTTCAAGTCCTCCTCTTCATAAAGGTACATAACCCTCCTCAGACCTCTAAGTCACCCTGGTCCACCACCCTCCTGAAGTATCCTACTCGTCTCACCTACCCAGATGCCACCTGCAGCTTTCTCTTTCTGTCCTTCCAAGACTGAGTTGGGCTCCTGGGTTGGGCTAATAGAAGCCCTGGCATTTTGATGAGAGTTGCAGCAAACTCTGAAGAAAACCGGAGTCTCTCATTCCAAGTCTTAGGTTACTGAAAGATTAGAAGTGGAGTTGTTTTGGGATTTACAGAGAGCAATTTCCGTGCTTAGTAATGTTTTCAAATCTCGATAACAGGTGAGAAAACACAAGAAAATTATGCTAGATCTGCTGGTGCATGGATTGTATGACCCTGTGAGTTCTGAAGTCATCCACGAGAGTATGAAGACACTGACCATCATCCTGGGCAAGATTCAGGGCAAACGTTTGGGCTCCTTCTTCGTAGACATCACGCTTCAGATCAGGACTTTATTGGATGATGTAAGTGACACAACTCATAAAAATTTGGGGGTATTAAAATCAAAGTGAGATTAGCAGTGACAGCCCTGGGTAGTTTGTTGCTCAGGTACTAGTCACTTTTCATTGCTGTGAACAAAATACCTGACATAAACAAAGGAGGAAAAATTCATTATGGCTCACACTTTTAGAAGTTCCAGTCCATGGTTGGCTGGCTCCATTGCTTTGGACCTGAGGTGAGGTGGACCATCATGGTGGAAGGACATGGTGAAGGAAAAGTGCTCACCCATGGCTGCTGGGATGCATGGGAAGGAGAGAGAAAGAGAGCAAGAAAAGGACTGGGGACAAGATACATCCTTCCAGGTCATGCTTCTAGTGACCTGCTTCTTCCAATTAGACCCCACTTCTTTCAGTTTCCACCACTTTCCAGTAATGCCATCCAGCTATGAATCCCTTCATGGATTAATCCATTGATGAGATCAGGGCTCCAAAGTCCCATCTCTAAACACTGCTACTTTGGGGGCCAAGCCTTCAACACATGAGCCTTTAGGGATGCTTCAGATCCAAACCATAACATTTTTAATGAATCTTGTTCAGAGACTAGTACGGTACTGTGTGTGGATTAAGAAAGCCATAAAAGATGTGTAGAATTCCATCACTTCTCCTTAAGGAGTTTTCATCTTAATAGAGGAGTGAATATTGTATGCTGATGACAGTGAGCAGCGTGTAGTCAGCACTCCCTCATACATGTAAGAATGACAATAGTCACACCTAGTGGGCCCTTCCCGTGTGCCACATACAGTGCAAGGCCATTTACATGGAGCATCTTCTATAACCTTTGCAGTCATCCTGTGAGGGAGGCACTGTAACTATCCTCACTGTATGGATGAGGAAGCCAAGGCACAGAAAGGTTGGAACCTGCCCAAGGTTTGCAGAGCAAGCTCTCTGGCTGCAGCGCCTGCACTGACTGGTAACTACCAGATGAAAAGACGGCCAAGCAAGAATTGTGCTGGGACAGCATTTAGTCTGAACCATGGGAAAGAAGTCCAAGAGCCTTAGTTTTCCAGCTAGTGAGTCAGCCTGCTGCAGTTATTCTCGCCTCTATGAAAGGCAAGACCTGTTGAATGGGGAACAGGCCTTTTATTTGCTCCCAGAGCCACTAGCATCAGTTTGTCACACCCTAGTTCCCCAGGAAGCCGCACAGAGCAAGCAGGGGTGCCAGCCCCACATGAGAGCAAGAGAGACCGTGAGATTATGAAGCTTGCAGCTTATATAGAAGCTGCTGGCGTAGTTGTCCCACCTTCTTTCAGAGAGAGACAGATTTTTGCTCTTGAATATACACCAGACCTCCCTGAGGAAGGGAGAGGAGGGTCTTTACCTCACCACCCTGCAATGCCAGCAAATGTGGCATTAAATCTCTCTAGAGGAGTCATCTGAACTTCAGGCTTACTTTCCCTCCCTCCCTCCCTCCCTCCCTCCCTCCCTCCCTCTCTTCCTCCCTTCCTTTCTTTTTCTTTAAGATGGACACAATACCTTTTTTATTTATTTATCTTTTTTTATATGGTGCTGAGGATCAAACTCAGGGCCTCACACGTGCTAGGCAAGCACTCTGCCACTGAGTCACAACCACAACCCAAGGTTTATTTTGGATTGAGCAGCTTTTTAAAACCCACCTTGCCCGTGATTTTTGGTGAGAAATCCTTGGCAATGTATCCTGAGGAAATTCTCTTGCTGAGTTCCTTGCTGACAGTTTATATCTCTGTCACAGTCGGCGTTCTTTGCTGCCTGCTTTATGTTAGTGCCTGTGCCCCCATTGGATGATTGGCAGGCTGCTGGGCGACATGCACCTGTCTTATGCTTTCCTGTCTATCTCAGCAATAGGGGAGGGCTTTGGATGGGGTGCATTCACCCACCGATAGGGCTGTGAACAAAATAGCAACCTTGAGGTAATTCTGTATATGTCACATGTGCTGAATATATATTTTAAAAATTTATTTATTTATTTATTTTTGGTACTGGGGATTGAGCCCAGGGTTGCTTAACCACTGAACTACATCCCCAGCCCTTTTATAATATTTTATTTAGTGTTAGGGTCTCTCTAAGTTGCTTAAGGCTCTCTAAGTTTCTGAGGCTGGCTTACAACTTGTGATCCTCCTGCCTCAGCCTTCTGAGCCACAGGTGTATACCACTGTACCCAGCACTAAATGTATATTTTAAAATATATAATTTACATTTATTGTAATATAGAAATGTACATATATGTTAAAATATATGAAGAATATATAAGTATATTTGTATATTAAAACATATAAAATATATATTTAAATACTTCACAAAACAATCAGTGGTCGTCTTGCTGAGTCTTTGTGACCCCAGTTCTGGTGAGTGAGCCAGGGCAGGAGAGAATTCTCCTCAGTTCCTGCCCTCCCAGTGCTTAAGACAAAGGTGGCCAAGCACATGAGGGAGTTATCCACCCATCAAATGACTTAGACCAATTATTCTAGAATTCTGATATTTTTCTCCTTGCTTCCTGGAGTGGCCCACACTGGCCTTGTTCCTTCTGGTTTATTTGGAGCTGAACAGAGATATGAAGCACTGATATAAAAATCTGTGCACTAAAGTCGAATGATTGGCATCCTATGCTGGTTCTGTTACCTGACAGTGTGACTCTGGGAAAGTCACTGAAATGCCCTGGGCCCTGGACTTCTCATCTGGAAAGAGAGACACATGGGGCAAACAGCTCACAAAGGAGATAAAGGGAGGGCTGAGTCCACTCACCTGTGCTCAGGGAGGAGCCAACTCATCAGAGTAAAAGAAGAGAGTGGTGGTTGTGGTGCGGGAAACAGAATCCTTATTTCCACTACAGGTAGAAGGAACTCAGACCAAAAGTAGAGAGAGGTGACCTACGTAGGTGCAGTGGCACATGCCTATAATCTCAGCCCATTTAGGAGGCTGAGGCAGGAGAATCTCAAGTTCAAAGCTAGCCTTGGCAATTTAGCGAGGCTGTAAGCAACTTAATGAGAACTTATCTCAAAAAACAAAAAGTTAAAAGGGCTGGGGATGTGGCTCAGTGGTTAAGCACCCCTGAGTTCAATTCTCAGTACCAAAAAAAAGGAGAGAGAAAGACTGAGAGTTGACCTGCTAGAAGTAACAGGAGACTGATCAAGCAAATCATGATACAATAAAGCAAAAGAAAAGAGAGAAAAGAGAAAAAGTATGAAAATTCCTTTATGTGTTTAGGTGGAAAGAGCTCCTACAAAGATTGGTAGTTAAACCAAGGTGCATGACACCAGTTGGTGTCTGTCCGTTTATGTAAAAGAGAGGGGAAGTGCTCTGTGTCTGGAGGCCCACCCCGTGATGTCCATGCAAGAACGATGGCTGTGGTGGGAGCCATGTGCTCTGACACTTTTGTCTCTTGATGGTGACCTGCCTCTGTTGTTTTGTTGATGGGAACCCGCAGGAGAACGACAGCATGAGATACTTGGCCTTTGTCTTGCTCGGGCAACTGGCGGCCTTTGCTGGGTGGAAATGGAAGAAGTTTTTCGCCCGTCAGGTTAAGCAGACACGAGATTCCCTCCTAATCCATTTACAGGACAGAAACCCACAGGTTGCCACGGTAAGACCACGATTCTCCATGTTCTTGTCAATGCCCTTATGAAACTAGCAGCGTGTCCCCATGAATCCTGAAGAACTTGCCTCCCCAACATGTCATCCTTTCCAGAACAAAGATGTGGTTTTCCTGCCCCACCTGCCCATGTTAGTGCCTGTCAAGGCCAGATGAGCCCAGGTTCAGGGTGGGTGGGCAGAGGGTGCAGGTTTAGGTTCATGTAATGAGGATATCTATTCACATATCTATTCACACAATTAGTGATTGTCACTGCACCTGTTAAAGATTCCCTGTAGAACTGTTTTGCTCTTGAAGAAAATGTGCCCTAACAAGGTTGGATCAACCTCAGGCCTGGGTGAATGTTTCAAAACTGGGAGCAAAGAGTTTTGAAACCATTTGTGTTGGGTGGGGGGAGAGATTGAATTCAGCATTCAGGGTTCCCATGACAAGTGCTGTGTAAACTCCCAAGCAATGCCGTCCCCTCCCCACCAGCCCCCTGATTATAGGCATGGCATTTCGCAAGCATACTTCCTGTAAGTTCAAGTCTGTGAACTACCTGTAAAGTCACTTTCACATTGTAGTGTAGTGGCCCTGACCATAGATTGGGTCCACTTCTTTGGGATACCCTTCCCTGCTTGGGATTCTAGAATTCTGATGTTTTTGCCAATAGGATGGTCATATTTTTCCCCCTCAGGCTTGCAAAACAACTTTTCGAGCCTGTTCTCCGTATCTGAAACTGAGAAACGAAAACAGCTTCCGGACAGAAGAAGATCAAAGGAATCCCAAACTCTCCAGGCAGCTGGTGAGCGAGCCAGGGCAGGAGAAGATTCTCCTCAGTCCCTGCCCTCCCAGTGTTTAAGACAAAGGTGGCCAAGCACATGAGGGAGTTATCCACCCATAAAATGTCTCAGACCAATTATTCAATTGTGATTGACCCATGATGCTGTGTATGTAAGTGGTGAACTCCTGGGAGTTAGGCACACGGTGTCAGGGCAGTTCCAATTCAGGTCATTAGCTAAGTGCAGGCGATGCTGCCTACTCTCCTGTTGCCTATCCCAGTGCCCTGAATCTGCAGCTGTCCACTAGTTATATCTAGGAGGTTTACTGAGTTCCTCCCTCACATGTACCTTTGCTAATTTCTTTCAGAGTCACTATCATCCAGAGCTCCTGCAGTTCTTCTACGCAAATAAAATTCTGTAAGCGGGAGAGGCAGGAGAATGGTCCCACATGAGTGTCCTGCGGGGGCCCTTGTGTTCCCTCTGTTTTGTCTCATTGGATGCCTCTTCTGCTAGAAAAGAGGATGTCAGGAGAACAGATGGGGGCAAAAGTAATACCATGGAATTGCATAATTATACCCAAATTAAAAATTCTAAATTGCTTTCACATATCTCATTTTCTCCCAAATTTAATGAGAAAATATTTTCCTAAAAACACATAAAGTATATGCAGTTTCGTTTAGTGCTTATTTCTCAGCTATTTCCTTCTTAAGTTCGTTGCTGCCAAATATCTTGTATCTCTTATGAAACTTCTGAGCTTAGCGGAAAAATGGTTACCTTAAAAGTTTTTAAAAAATATTGATATTTCACTATTTGCTATTGATGCCTTTTCTTGTCAAGACTTATTTAAAATTGGCCAAGATACCAAGAAAATAGCTTGCAGGGGTATCTTTAGTTTTTCATGGTCTTTTCATGGCATGGCCTTTAAGATATCTTTAAAAAAGAACTAGTGGAGAGAAAAAAAAAATCTATGAAGTATATGTTGAAAATCCTCAGGCTGATAACTTATGGAATAAAACAGTAACATTTATTGGGAGTGTTTACAATTTATCCGACACTAAGAACTTTTTTCAATTATTATTTAATATTTATAAAACCCCTATGAGATAGGTACTATTATTGTTTTCAGCTTATAATGAGAAAACTAAGGCATGGGAAAAGTAAGTAAACTTGCCCAAGACAAACGGTGGAGTCAGAATTCAAATTCATATAGCCTGATTTCTGGAGCTGTGTGCAGTTACTCTTCAGGGAAACTTTGATGGTGAAAGGCAGAACAAACAAGAAAAATCTCAGCATACTCCTGTAATCCAAGCAGCTTGAGAGGCTGAGGCAGAAGGATCATGAGTTCAAAGCCAGCCTCAGCAACTCAGCAAGGTCCTAAGCAACTTAGTGAAACCCCATCTCTAAATAAAATAGAAAAAGGGCTGTGGATGTAGCTCAGTGGTTAAGTACCCCTGGGTTCAATCCTTAGTACCAAAAATAAAACAATGGATTCAAACTAAAAAGCTTCTTCTCAGCAAAAGAAATGATCAATGAAGTGAACAGAGAGCCTACATTTTGGGAGCAAATTTTTGTCACATGCATGTCAGATAGAGCACTAATCTCCAGAATATATAAAGAACTCAAAAACCTTAACTCCAAAAAATAAAACAATCCAATCAATAAATGGGCTAAGGAGCTGAACGGACACTTCTCAAAAGAAGATATACAATCGATCAACAAATATATGAAAAAAATGGTCAACATTTCTAGTAATTACAGAAATATAAATAAAGATTACTCTAAGATTTCATCTCACTCCAGTCAGAATGGCAGTTATTAAGAATACAAACAACAATAAATGTTGGCGAAGGTGTGGGGGGAAAAGGCACGCTCATACATTGCTGGTGGGACTGCAAATTGGTGCAGCCAATCTGAAAAGCAGTATGGAGATTCCTTAGAAAACTGGGAATGGAACCACTATTTGACCCAGCTATCCCACTCCTTGGTCTGTACCCAAAGGACTTAAAATCAGCATACTACAGTGACACAGCCACATCAATGTTCATAGCAGCACAATTCACAATAGCCAAACTGTGGAACCAACCTAGATGCCCTTCAGTAGATGAATGGATAATGAAACTGTGGCATATATACATAATGGAATATTACTCAGCAATAAAAGAGAATAAAATTATGGCATTTGCAGGTAAGTGGATGGAGTTAGAGAATATTATGCTAAGCAAAGTAAGCCAATCCCAAAAAACCAAAGGCTGGAGTGTTCTCTCTGATAAGTGGATGCTGATCCATAATGGGGCGGGGGGCAAGGGATGAGTGGACAAACTTTGGATGAGGTAAAGGAGAGGGGGGAAAGGACATGGGGGTAGGAAAGATGGTGGAATGAGATGAACATCATTACCCTAGGTACATGTATAATTGTATGAATGGTGTGACCTTACAACCAGAGAAGTCAAACATTGTGTTCCATTTGTGTACAATGAATTGAAGAGCATTCTGCTGTCAAGTATAACTGAATAGAACAAATTAATAAATTAAAACAAAACAAAACAAAACAAACAGACAAAAATAAAATAAAAACCCTCATCTCAGCTCCTCTATTAAATACAGTTAACTGCTGTGATACCTGATTTACATTTTTATTCATTTAAATGAGCTAAGTGCTCATCACTAATCACTTCTTGACTGAAATGCCAATGGTTTGGTGACCAATCCTAGTTATCTGAGAGATCACATCACTCTTATAAAAAGTTTCAGTTGGGTTTGGTGGTGCAAACCTGTAGTCCCAGCAATTTGGGAGGCTGAGGCAAGAAGATCATTTGAACAACTGAGTTCAGGACCAGCCTGGGCAACATGATTTTTTTTTTTTCATTTTCTTTTTCTTTTTTTTTAATTTGGGCAACATAATTTCAGAGGAGAAAAATGCTTAGTTTCTTTGCTTTCCACCAACTCGACTGGTTCCCAAGCTTCCCCTATGGTAATTCTGATACCACCACTGCACGCAGTACTGGTCATTCCCGGAACACTGTGTTCAGTTTTGGAAATTGAAAGATCACCAAGAGGGAAATCATGAGAAGGTCATAAAAACTACAGAAGGATCTAAAGTGGCACTCTGAGAACCAGGAACTCAGTTTCTGGCCCTTTCTCCCAGATCCCGGGCTCTGAGAGTTGAGGGTGCACTGAAGCATTCTGGGAGACAGGATGTGGAGATAGCAGACAGGGCAGCAAGTGCCAACTATCAGTGGAGCTTCTTTCTTCCTGTTTTGAAATTGGAGTGACAGCAGGACCTCCTAGGAGTGAGGCTCCGGAGCAGGTGGGAAGGGCCTAAGCTGTGATCCCTCTCCTTCCCCAGATGTTGGCATGTTTAAACTACCTTGCCACGTTGGTTTAAAAATCTGATGTGGTTCTCTGAAGCGATCAGTAAGTGGCATGAGACACATCTGAATTTGCTGGCACTCAAAAAGGTGGGGGTGGGGGGAGGTGGGTGGACTTACCTATTCTCAAGTTGAAAAATCTATGCAGTTAGTGTCCTTTAGTTGATTTAATTTGCTGTTGGATGATTTGACTTCAAGATTCCATGGCAGCCATTTTTTCCCTTGCAGTGAACCAAACCTCCTAATATTCATGCCCCTGTGCAGTCCTCTCCCCTGAACTCAGGTTAGTCCTGTGACTGCTTTACCCCTTAGAATGTGAAGAAAGGGCCACCATGCTGGGCTGCTTCCTCTTGCGCTCTGGGGGAAGCCAACCACCACATAAGAAGCCAAATCACCAGGAACAAAGGAGAATGTCTGAGATCCCTGTGTGAAGGAGGAACCCAGCCCACAACAAACTCTGAGGCCCAGAGCCTTGGAGCAGGTGGGCTGGTCCAGCCAGGCCCTGTCATTCAAACTGCTCCAGCTGACATGGCCTGAGAAAGAGCTGCTGTTCCCATCACACACACCGCCAAGTGCAGAATTAATAATAAGTAATAATTGCTGTTTTAAGTCATTTAACCTTTGGGATAGTTTGTCACCAGCAATAAGTAACCCCAAAATTCCCCCTCATGAATTTTGTCATTGTAGCTGGTTTTATTTTGCTCTTAATAAATCCTCTTTGAATTTAAATTCCATCTAGAAAGCTATGTGATTATGCAAGGGGCATGCAAGGGACTATGCTTTGTTTTTCTTTTGCATCTTGCCGTATCTGTCACAGACCCAACCACGGAGCAGATTTGATCAAGAAACATTCGCTGACTGATTAATGGTTCCAAATCATAGAGGGAATAAAGTCAGTGTCTACTCTGCTATTCTGCTCTTTCAACTGTGGGTTCACACTCTTTCTTTTCAGCTATTTCAAATGCAACCCCCACCCTGGACCCTGCACTCGCATGCACACACAATTTCACAAGTAAGTAAGATAGGTCCAACACCAGATCCCCTCGGTCAGGAAAGAGCTCGAAACTCTGAATTCCCAGGAGATTCTAGCAGTCTCGTGTCACTTAAACTGTCTTATTCTCATCTGAGGATTTTCCACCGAAATGTCCTTTTTTCCCTCATAGATAGAAGCTGTCTTGTATCTCTCTTGTGATCGCAAAGGTACACAGTAGGTGCTCAGTAAATGAATGCTGACCAGGGAGGCAAAAGTCAAAAGTTAACTAGAGCTATTACTGCTTCTTGGAAGGACCCCATTCTGACAAGTAAGGGTTGTTATTTCACTAGCTTCTTGTAATTGATTCACAAATTACCTTTATGCTTATTTATTTAACATTTCCCTTCATCATAAGAAGCCTATTAATTAAATGTAAATCTAAGGGAAATGCTTCGACATTTCTTACTTTTTAACATTAGATATGGGACAGTTGAATAAAAGAAAAAGGGATGTTTCTGTGTTACTGTGCTAAGTGCTCAGGGTAGAGCTATACATAAAATTCTTTCAGGGGAAGAGATGAGCCTTGTGAGATGAGCCTTTCTTTCTCCTCCCACCTTTTTTTCCCCTGTACTGGGGATTGAACCCAGGAATGTTCTACCACTGATCTACATCCCAGCTCTTTTTAATTTTGAGATAGGATATTCCTAAGTTGTTGGGGCTGGCCTCAAACCTGTGATCCTCCTGCTTCAGCCTCCCAAGCTGCTGGGATTACAGATATGAGTCAGTCTTAAAGAAGGGGCAAGACCAGAGGAAGTCTGAGAATCTAATGGGTGTGACTATCTCTGGTAGTTAGTGTAAACAGAAAGCTTTATTCTAGTCCATAAGGCAATTAATTGAAGAAAGACTTCACTCATTGTAAAAAAAAATACTGTTTAGTAGGAAACAAGAGCTGCGTAGGATAGTGAGCAATAAGTGATGTAAATAAGTCAGATACACATTGTGCTTTCCTGAATTTTCAAA